CTTGCATTAATGTTGTGCACAGCTGTAGATTTGGTAGCAGGTAGGATAAATACCGAAGTGTATACTTTGTAAAAATTTTTTGCGCTTGCTAATTGTGCTGATTTTCAGTGAGCTAGAAGTAACTGTTAACTAGCAGTGTACTAATGAAAGTGTTACGAAACATATTTTCAGGTTCAGTGAGATTTGCGAATTTATTATGCCCCTCGATAAACCTTGTATGCAGATTTGCTCGGCACTACTTTTGCTGTAGCACTGAAATCTGTCTTCCAAGCGTTAAAGTGTCTGGTTGTGCAATAAAAACCGCGTGACATGTTAAATTCGAAAGGAGTTGAATTGCCAGCTAGCAAAGCATCGAGGGGAGTGGAGTCGAACAATATTTTTTTATAAAGCCACTTTCTACCGTAATAAGTTCTGCCATTTCTCGACCACAGAAATGTTAAAGAAGTAAACAAACTTTTGGAATGTCAACTTTGCTTCACTTTCATGATTGGGCAGTTTTGGTGCTCTTCTTTTCATGAAGTTGATGGTGCTCTGTTGATCTCCGCTTCTATGTCATTAGCCACAGGTGCATTATATTTTTGGGCAGAGTCTACAGCAGTGAGTCGCCAGTTTCCTTCCAGCAGCATTTTATTAACCTCGGAGGAAAGAAGAACGAGTTACCACTACCGGGAATTTAACTCAGAGCCTATCCGTCGTGAGTTCGACGCTCCATCGACCTAGCAACCCTGGTCTGAAGCAATGTATGGCAGATTCCTTGCTCAAGAGAATTCATCACGAGGAGGATAAAGGTTGCCCTCTAGTGGATTCAAGCCCAGCACCTCCGGCGTTCGAAGTGGATCTCTTTGACTACTGTGCCAACGCGCCAACACATGCATGATGAGCTAACTGTTCGAAGGAGACTCATTTGCTATGAATCGCTTTTGGCAAAGTCAAAATCATTTTATTCACAACACTCGAAATGCAAAAATAGATTCACAACAAACTGTACATGAGAAATGACTGAAACGCAACAAAGGCTGCGATAATGTCAAACTGAAAGTACTGAACAGAGTTCATTACCGAAGAACGAATCTGTGAATGCTTCAGGTGGCTGAAGACCATTCTTTCGGAAACTGTGTACAGCGTTGCATCTAGCGGAGTTTCCAGGCGATCCTTGATGAAGGCTCCAAGCTTTCTTGCACTTGTTTGGATTCTATAATGTTAAACAAATGCTTATTGGGATGGTTCTTGTCTTGCATAAATGTTTGAGTCATTGGAATTATGATGAAGTATTGATTTCAGCCGAAAGGCGGATTTGGTCAGCTGTAAGGCAGACAAGATGGGCGGTGAAATTTTAGAGCACGTATTGAATAATCTCCTTCGCAATTTGACATCTGCGTCAAGTGGGAGTGCTGACATAATCTCAGCACAGACTGAAATGTCGTATATTACGTGGGTGATATGGTTTCTTCAGCATTCTGTATAGCAGAGTGACATCTGAGGACAAACGGATTAGTAACCGTCTTTTCCACTGATGAACAAAAAATTAGCATGAATTTTTCTTATTCTGCCGTCAGTGCTTTGAACAGAAATTGCCAGCTAACGTCGTGGTCAAGCGCCATGGATGACAGCAGAAAATAGGAAAAACTTTTGATATGAATTGTCAATTTCTCTGAAAGATGGTGTTTTACAGTTACCATAACTTACTCTATAAACGTCAGGGATTGATTTGATGACTCAAGTTAGACATCAGTACAGAAACAAGGAACTGAATATGACTCATTTTCTAAACTGCACAAGTGGCGAGAACACCTATGCACTGGTTAATATGGCTCATTAAGCCACATTAATCGTTCGCTTACCAGAGGTAGTCATTGTTACTCGCGTAGAAGCAGTCATGTACTTTTTCATGCTTCATCGATTAGGAAACCAAGTTAGCATCAGAAGAAAAACTGGAATCTGAATGATTGTGTTTGCATGAGGTTCCAGCTTCCTTTGATCTAATACTGCCAGAGATTCGAAGCTTGTGTTTTTTGGGGCAGAATATTGTCTACCATGCCACAAGTTTTGTCTGGAAATACTGAATGATGCACATCAGGGAAATGAAATATGTATCGCTGCAACTTGGCGGTCGAACACCCCAGTAAAATTTGCGCTTGAAAAAAATCATACATATAATGATTTTTTTTCTGTATATATATAGAAACTAGAAAACCAAGGCACTGCTCCTTCGATGAGTATATATATATACTTTATCTTGAGTGGGGTAAAAATGAGTTTCTTGGGGGGGCGGGTAAGGAGTACTGAATATACTTAAATAAAATTATACAAAAAACTCGTTCCTTGTTACGACAGAAAGTTTTCTTTCGGCAACATTGCACCTGGCTAATGTAATGGACGTGTTTAGGAGAAGTCACGCCATGCTGAAGTCCAAACAATTTGGTTGCTAAGGCGTTGTCACGTGGTTAGACAGATATTATTTGTTAGTTGTCCATTACCCGCCTTAATTTTATTTTTTGATGGGTTTTTGCTTTGTCTAAGTAGTTATTTAATCTACCTTATTTCAATAGTTCTATTTCATGTTTAAGATTTTCTTTTATCAATCATGTTTTAGTTGTCTATTCGATAATTTGATTAATATATTTTCTCCTCGCTCGATTAATTTTCGATGGTCAATAAAATAATTAATGCCTGATCTTGAGGACATATCTTAGTGTCACGTTTACCAATTAAATTACTGTAAACTTAAATGAACTTTAAAAATCTTGAAACGCCGGGAGAATTCCCAGATTCGCATATAACCACATCCGTAACAACGGTTGCTAGGGAAATTGTTTGGACAGCATCCAAATTGCTCTGACATCAGAATGCTCCAATTTCGACGTTATTGTATCAAAAATGAAACAATGTCATTTTTCCAAAACCTCAAGTGAAAAGTTTTTAAAGAAATCCTTTTGTTTCATCATGAGGATATTTATTTTATCGCATTTATTTTATACTTTTTATATTTTTAATTCTATTCTTATAAACAGATTCAATAAACATATTAAATTTAAATAGTCGATTATTTTCTCCTTTCAGATCAAGGAGGCAACGTCAGCGTAAATAAATATATTTTGGGGCAATGGGCAAAGAAGTTCCCTGACCCCTGTGCCATACAAACGTCTGAGTGACGTCGTTCAGGAGCGCAGCATGCAACATGGAGGATCGAGGTAGAGGCAGATCTGCTTTCAGAGAAGAATATTTCCTT